CCATCACAATTTTATTAATAAAATTAACACCAACTTTCATCTACTTTAAAATTTTCACTAAAATGTAAAAATTTAGAAAAAAATCATAACTTGTAATTTTTAATTTTATTAAATTCTCATGATTTGACCATGACATCTGCACAATAGGTCAAGAAAGTGATAGAAGTCCTAGTTTTGTAAATAAAAATTTTTGGGTGCATCAATACACTTAGCCTTCATTCTGACTCGGTCGGGTGTAATGATTTTTAGCCGGTCCGTGCTTGCATCGGCTCGCGACAGTACGATGGGTTATAACCAATTTCAATCCATCGCTTTTGGCCGGCTAAATCCGTCTAGGGCTTTTGAGAAGTTTTCGTATCTTAGCATCCGTGTGAGCCCTCTTGTTCGGCAGTCGGCTGGGTGCTTGTTCTCCTCGAAGGTTAGTGATCGATATACGATAGAAGTTACATATCTTCTCTTCATATCCAGGCGATCGTCGAGTTGATCTTCTATAGACCTCGACTATAACAGTTTTCCTTGTTTGTTTCTCTGTATATCGATTTAAAACAGATTCTCTATTTCTTCTCCATATCAATATTTTCTTCTTCATGGTGCTTGATCTCTGTTTTGTGTCTCTGTGTGTGTGTGTTCCCTTTGTTTTCGTTGTTGGATTGCAATATTGATCCGAGAGTACTCTTTTATTTTTTTTTTTTTTAATTTTTTTATCATCCACCCTGCCTTTCACGTTATAGTTATGTCACAGCCTATTGGATTGTTAAACAATAACATTTTTTCTTACGAGATAAATCTCATCACTCTATAAGCCCTTTATTTGAGATTTGTGTCATTACCAATCTGCTGATTGAAGACCTCCTGAAAAGATATGTGTTGGATCTAAATCTGTGAGTGGTAATACCTAAACTCATTACGTAAGGCAGCAAGGAAAAAGTAGATGAAGATAACTATGCAGAAAGAGAAATTTTGTGAGATTTTATTGCTTTTTTAGAAAATACAGTGTTAAATGTACCTTCCATATGATCCTTTGCTCCAATATTTATAAATTTTTAAGTGCTACATTAAAGGTTATATTTTGATCTAAATAATAGATTAATGAATATCCATTACCGATATGTGGACACAATGATGGCAATACACATGAATTGTTATCTTGGAGGTCTTGCCAACTGGAGAAGTTGCCATTCTTATGTAGGCTGATTCCTATGGAGCCCCAAGTGATTTTCTTTTAGGTTTGATGAGCGCCCTTTGAACTAAGCTTGTATCTTCCAGTTTGAATCCTCTAGTCTAGGCATGTGCCATTTGAATTTAATTCTTGTAATAGCGAGCTTCCTTTAAGCTAGGGTTCTTTGGAACGGGTCAGTGCCCATTTGCTCCTTATGTGAGTAAATTTGAGAGGTCGGATGTGTGACTCTGGGGCGCTTTGAGAGTGTTGGGGAGCTTGGGTCGGTGACCTTTGGAGCCTCATGCCCTTGGTTTCCGTCTAGTTCATTCGGTCACTTTTGCTCTATCCCTAGCTGCGTATCTGGCTGTTTTAAAAAAAAAGCACATTTTTTTCCCCATCTGTACAATGGAAAATCATATTAAAATGTGTGTAGCCCACCATGTCCCACCGTTCTTGTATTTAACTTGACACATGAAGGCAAGCATTAAAAAATCTTTTTTTATTAGATTTGTTTGGGAGCATAAGATGCCTGGAAAGCGGATGCATGCAATATGTTCCCGCTGTCAACACTTAAAAAAATGGTGTTAATCAGATTATAAGAATGTTTTTTTTTCTTCTGGTGATGTTGTTTTTCATTGGACAGCAGACGATATAGCCTCAAACTTCTCTTAAAATGGAGCTCTATTAATAAGAATGCTTTTGTATATGATAGTGTAAATTGGGGCTTTAATTTTGCAATATACCCTTGTATAGATCTATTATGAGGAGGTACAGTCCTGGTTACTATAGCCCTCCAAGAAGGGGATATGGTGGCAGAGGAAGAAGTCCTAGGAGAGGATATGGTGGTCGCAAGGATCAAATACAGGGGAGTCTTTTAGTTCGAAATATACCACTGAATTGCAGGTAAATATTTATTGAGAATTAGCATAAGATTCTGAACAAGTTTAGCTATTCCATGGTAGAAAACTTTTCCATTCTCATCTTGTGGCAAGTTGTTATTAGATATGCTCATGTTTTTGCTTTATTTTACAGAACTGAAGAACTTCGTGTTCCATTTGAAAGATTTGGTCCAATAAGGGATGTCTACATACCAAAGGATTATTATTCTGGGTGAGCTTTCAATGTAGAATGACTGTACATTACTATATGCATATCTAATGTATGTGTTCCCTTTTTTTTTACATGTTTTTGACATGTGGTTTGACTATGACATTTCTTATCCACTTTTCATGTGCTAAATGCTTTTCATTTGTGAAAATGAGTGGTTTTCTATTGTTTCCTTGGAGTGATCTACTTGATAATTATAATCACCCTTCATATAAATTTGCTCTATCTCACTATGCCAAAATTCTGAATATTTAATCTCATTTTCTTATCTAGTTAAAGACATTGGTTGAATTGGACAGATGCTTGTAGCTTTATCCTCCTTCTCTCTCCTCTCTTCAATTTTTAGTTTTATATTGTGAGTTGTTTGTTGAACTGGTTCTCAGGGGTGTTATGGTTTGAAGTAAACACAAGCCCTGCATTTGATGAAGACCACTGTTTAGTATTGCTTAATTTTAATCATTTGATCAAGAGTTTAAAGTCATGTTGAAACAAAGGGAGTTCTTCTTTGAAGGCAATAGTAAGTCCACATCATATAAGTTTGTGAAAGAGAAGATAGCACGGTGACCAATTGAAGTTGATTTGCATGAGAAGAAAGTTGAAGAATTGTTGTTTTCAAGTTTTTCCATGAGTGTGCAAACCTGTGAAGATTTTGAAGTGATTTGCATTGTTTGATGTTGCTGTGTGCGACTAATGATGAAAGAATGGATACTAAGGGGGACTGCAAAACATTCTTTTAAGACACCTTGGCTGCCCATTTGATGGAAGCTATATGCCATACTTTGTTCTTCATCAAGATCTATAGGGAGACATATTAAGTGATGTTTATTGACGGTAAACATAGCATGCATTGTTGCTATTACAGCAAATGGCTTGCTGTTTGTGTTATGCTTCACAAAGTTGTTAAACATGATGAAATGTGAAACCAATGCAGGGAGCCACGGGGCTTTGCTTTTGTGCAGTTTGTTGATCCATATGATGCTGCTGAGGCACAATATCACATGAATCGACAAATCTTTGGCGGTAGGGAAATTGCTGTTGTTGTTGCTTCAGAAACAAGGAAGAGGCCTGAAGAAATGAGGAGAAGAACTAGGGCCAGGTAATAAATCTTATAAATCTTATTGTACTTTATTTATTGATTGATTTTTTGGATTTTTTTCAATTTGATGCTATAGAATAAGCCTTTTCTTACGTACTACTCAGGGCAAGTAGTGGCTATGATGGTGGCCGCTCTTCATATTATGGTAACCATTTGTTCTTATTTCTATTTCCTGAAATCCTTAATACTACTTTACGAAACATTACTTGAATTTAGTTATTTTGTACATGTTTTTGCAGTTTAATGTACAAGCTGAAGAAAGAAATGTCTATCGATTTAAATTTTTTTTTTTGTTGTGTTTAGTTTTTTTCAGTAAAACATTGAAAGCTTCGTCGAACTCATCATTGTTGTACTGTCATTGCTACATGAAACAAACGTTTTCATTTGTCCGATTAGTATTAAATTTCTTATTTTTTGAAGACCTGTTATTGGTATAATCTCATTCTTATCCATTGAGGGGGCATACTTAATAAGCATAACCAGAAAAGGAAAGTACAATACCTAATCCATTTTAGGGTTTTGTGATTTATCTATTCATTGACTTTGGCACTTAACTTTTGCAAAATGATTATTATTTGGTTGGGTTAATTAGATACTTAACAAACCGACAAGATCAACATTATTGAGGGAGTTAGGATAGCCAGTTATTTGTTTAAGAAGTAATATGGTTATGCAAAAAAAGATGAGTATGAGTAAGCCCAATTTAAGCATGTCATTATTGGAGCCGACACAAAAAAACAGGTTTGATTTAACACATTTAAGATTCAAATTATGTTTGTGTCAACTCAAATGGCTCGAAAAAGATTTGGCAGGGTTTGAGTCAACCCATAAAATGACTTAACTATTTGATTTTTTTAATGAAAAACTCATAAATTTTTTAATTTTTGCTTTTATTTCTAAGTTATTGTGTCCATTTTGGATAATTGTGGTCATTTTATTTTGGGTGCATCCTAACTCGTGACAGACTAGATGTTTTTTATTGTCGAGTTGGTTTCTAGTTGAAATTTTTGAACCATTTAATAAAAAGGTTGGTTCAGGTTAATTGTACATGGCGAGTTATTTTTGGTTGAACCTGAATCAGATATATCAACTCAACTTAACACATCTAGTTCCATGAGGAAAAGGAACAAATTGCTTTGTATTTCCGAAGTCACTTGAAAGCAGCATTGGTGAACTCTTTGATAGGATTTATCATTGTCATTTGTCTTATTATACCAACTATTTTTGCGCAGTCTTATGAATTTTGATTTTTCATTTGTTTCTATGGAGTGTTATTTAAGGTGTGTCATTACCTTTTTTTTGATAGGATTTATCATGACCTTTTTTGCAATTTCTAACATTTTGTCGATGTAACATTATTTATGCCCATTTTCCTTTCTTATCGTCTAAAACTAATATTATCAACTTGTCTAAGGGGCATTTTCTGCCTTTCTTTCTAATCCTCGAAAACTAATATTTTCAGCTTATCTTTAATAGGATGTAACTCCAATTATTTTCTCTTATATAATCATCTTTAATTTATCCTTTATAATTTTGCATTCATCTAGCTTGGCATTCTCATTTGTGCCATGCATTGTTTATATACTAATGAATTTTTGATCGCCTAATATTCAAATCCAGATAATATTGCTAGCATAATTACCGATTTTATGAAGTTTACCCTTAAACCTCTATATTATTCTCTTATTTACCGAAATGTTGATGCGCTGCTCCATGTTAACCATTCAAGCTTAACTGTAGAAGTTATATAATCATTAATGTCTTCATTCTTCTGTATATTAGATTTATGATACCTAAACTCATCAGTCATCACACCTAGGTATCATCTTAACTTGTGATAATATTGAATGATAATTTCCAATATCATAAGTTTAACTTACATGTCTTATATTTAGCCTTGGTTAAAGTAATTATGAGACTTCCATCTTTCAAGAGTTTCCTCCCTTTTTTAAATTTTCACCTATTTAGTCTTGGTTAAAGTAATTATGAAACTTCCATCTTTCAAGAATTTCCTCGCAATTTTAAATTTTCACCTATTTTAGTATCTCCCTCTCTAATTAGAGCTATATTATATTTAAAAAGTATGCACCATGGCACTTTGCTTTGAATATCCTTTGTAAATATCTCTAAGCCAAATACAAAATATAAAAGATCCATGATGATCCTTGATATAAAACTTTTGATAGTTAGAAACTCTTGAGGGTCAACCTATAATTACTTAATATTTGTCATTGTTCCATCATACATATCTTTTATAATGTTAATATATTTAATAATTTTTGAAATACACATTTATGTCTTAATGCACATCAAATGAATTTCCATGTTACATGATCACTCATTTTCTCCAAGGTTGATAAAAATCATGCGAATATCATTTTTATATGTGTTAATTTTCCATCTAATTTTTTACATGGAAATTGCTATCATATCAGATCCTTCATGCATGAAAGAAAATTGGTCCTTAAAAACTATAATTCCTTAAGCTTACTTCCTTGAACCTAATTGCATGATTCATAAGTTTGATTCCTCTATATTTAACACACATGGTTATTCTTCTATTATTTGGCATGCTGTTATAGTCTTTATAATTTTTTTGAAAAGATTTGTTGATCAAATCACTTCAATATCCTTCAAAATTCTCCGAATCTTAAATTGGTATCTCACATGGGCCTAAAAATTTTATTTATGCATCTTTTTTTGAGCTAGTCCCATTTTACTTTTATAGATCACTCTGTGATATGCCTTGTTATTTTGTATGTTGTCCTCTTTCAAACTAATTCTTTTTTCTTAACGCTCATCTAGCAATTTCTCAATCTAATATTTTCATCCTTTAATGTTTTCATCTTTAATCAAGATCATATCGTTTTCACTTTTAATTCATTTGGCTTGATCAAAATCCCTGGAGTTCTTTATCTTTTATATTAGATATTCTATATATTTCTTTTCTCTTGCTATAATACCAATGTAACATACAAATCAGAAAAGTTATAGCTTTTGCTTCACTTATCACTCAGTTTATAAGACTTGTAGCTTATAATCATTACAAACAGAACAATATTCAAAATTTTCCAATTTTTAGAAGCACATTTTTTTTAAGACTTGTTGCACCCTCTATCTTCACATTGGCTCTTTATCAATGCTAGATTTTTTTTTTAAATTTATATTCTAATATTTTCAATGGAACAGTAATCTTAAAGTTTTTGGTTAATTTTAATATTCTCAACTTATATATCTTAATTTTAACCGTCTTTTTCATGCTCAAGCTATCTCTTATATATATATATGTATATTAAAAAAGAGTGGTATTTGGAAATACCGCTCCCCATATGTGTGTTAGTTGTCCCCGTAGGGATTGAACCCTGGTCAAAGGGGTCTTAACGACTAACAATGCAGCTGCCTATCAACTTGTCACCCTACTAGCGCGCGCGTACACACACACACACACAGAGAGATATATATATATATATATATATATATATTCCCATGTAAATCACCTGGAACAGTTAATCTTTATTCAATAGTTATATGTTGTAGTAGTTCATCAATCTTTTATTTAAATTGATTTTCTTAGCGTTCTGTTCCAACTTGAGAAGCTTAGACTCTTAACTGTATTCATAATTTTCGCATTGTCAATTATCTTAATAATAATGACCTAATTACTGCTAGCAGTTCATCAGTCTAACCATTTTGTCTTGCAACTTTTTATCCACTAATTCCTTAATCCAATCTTCAACAGACATTCATTGTAGTAGTTCATTTCTCCCATCTCAAAATTAATATTTTAAACCATATTCTTATCCAATTTGAAGAGCATAAGCACTAACCACATTCATTATTTCCTCATTGATATTTAGCTTAAAACTATTTATTCACTGCTAACTCAATCTATTCTTTTTGTTAATCCGTCTAAAATACAATAGCCTTCCCAAAATCATTGGGTTTCTTTCCATTTAATTTCGTGTAAAATAGTGATAGTTTTTCTTCTTCTTATTGTGTCCTATTCTTGTCTTCTCATTCAAAGTTCTCAACTTTCATGCAGTAAATCGAATTTTAGATTTTAGTCCCGGATAAACACTCTTTTTATTTTTTACCATAATCCGAATAACATTTTGTTTTATTGTAATCTGGACAACTTGTTACACACCACTTAAGGTCTAGCTCTCCCTAGCTTACTTTTCACCTTGTTTGGAATAAGCTGTGGTGTTTCACTTAGGGTGTTTGTTTTGACCTAACTTTTGTCTATTTTCATCACAATTGTTTTATGTCATAGGTATCACCCTTCGCCTGCACTGTCCAAAATTGAATTTATTTGATTTGATCTGTCAAGTTTAATGACTGGATGTATATCAACATCAAATCTAAGCTTTTTTTACCTGGATAATTCCATACCTCGTTATAAAAAAAATGGTATTTATTGGTTAATGAGCCAATTCCATACCTAGCTATAAATAGTTTTGAAACTTTATTCTTTTGGTCAAATTTCATGGTTTTCTGAATTCTATTTTAATTAGTTTTAATAGTTCTTGTAAAATACCTGCAATGGATTCATTTAATTAGATTAATGAGGGCAATTCCATAGTCCAAACTAGTTTTTATTTTTCTGGTTTTTATAACAACAAGGAATGAATTTTTATTTTTGACAGCTATTTTTAACATTCTTTTTCATCTGGGCACATCACTTGTAATTTCTTAAACATCTTAAACATTACTTCACTTAATAGTCTTGCGGTAGTGTATTTTACCATTTTATTTGCATTCCCTGCACTAATTGATTGTCCAGAGCACTGTACATCACAATATTACAAATTGTATTTTATTTTATTCCCTTTGGGCTACTTTTGTCTATAATCATTTGAGATGTCATCACTCATCACTTGTTTTATTTGAACCTGCTGGCACATGTCGTATTAGGATTGATTATATAATAAACAAGTAATTATTATTATTTTATCTTCAGGCTTGGATGATCAATAATTGATTTGTTATGATTGGCTTAAAATTTATTTGCTTTTTATTATTTCCGTAGATGCAAAATCCTCTTTATATATAGAGGTCCAAGGGAGAATTATGATGTAGAGGATTGTAATCATCTCTCTCTCGAGTATTGGACTGCCCCACTCCTCTCTCTTTCCACTCCAGCACTTACCACACGTGCTGGACTTGGGCATATCACATGCCCTATCAATGCCTTAAAAACACACCCTACTTTTTTTTATAGAACCTACATGGCTCCATGCTTTGTACCCCATCTGTTTTTTTTCCTGGTTTGTTACTTTTTTTGTACTTCTTTATATCTTAGGTTTCTATATTTTCTGAGGAACGTTTAAAGTTTTGTAATATGCAGCAAATATTTTTTTGATTTTGTGCATCCTGATTTTTTTTTGTCTTATATTGAATTGCCGAGAACTAAATTATGCACTGTAGTATTGTGAAGTAAACCAAACATTACACACTGACGTGGTTATGAGCCTGCACCTATCCACATTATATATATATGATATATATATAGATATATATTCCTGTAATTTTTACCCTTATCTTTATTCTACATAGATTTGCTACTTTGGTGTTTAATTCTTTATTTTTTCCATTTAAGTTGGTTGTGTGATAGATTGAGTGAGAGTGTGAGATTAGAGGCAGTGGAGGCATATTTTTGGGACAAATTTTTCTATTTTATTTTATGCATTTTTTATTTTTTACTTTTTTTAAATTATGGTTGTCACCATTTGTTGGGATCCTTGGATGCAAATTGATCATGAGTTTACGTTTGTTCACTATATATTAAAACAAGATTCTCTACGGGTGTTTTTCCACAATTTTTTCACATCACTTCTGTTTGGTTTCAAGTTCCTGTAATGGTCACGTGTGTGTGTCAATACATACAAATGCTATCTTAGAATTATATTCAAGGTAACCTGATGTGAGAAATAAAAAATTATGATAAATAAAAGTAATCTTTTATGCACAGTAGATTCAAAGATAGTGTAGTTTTTCATGTCTTTTTTGTTAACATCTCATGCCTTACATTATCTTGATGTTTGCATCCAATTCTTAATTTTGTAAATAAAATTTAAATAAAAAAATGAAAGTGTGCAATGGTACAAATTTTATATTACTAAAATAGTAATGGAACTCAGCTTTGTACTATTTTATGACTATAGTAGAAAATTTAAAGCGTATGGAAAGCATCATCTAAAACAAAAAGTTCATGGCAGATTCATAGATAATTAACAAACTTAAAATTTAGATTCTTGAGGTTGACAGAAATGTAGTCTAACGCTCCTTTATATAGGTAATTGAATATAGAATTCACTGAGATAACTTTTGCTATCTAGAGACAATGATGAGCAATAAGGGCATCTTTTGTTACTTCACTTCTCTGAGAGGTTGCTTTATCCATCAAGTAATGCACTTAGAGAAAGAGAGGTGGGTGAATTGATGCAGCAATTAAACTATTGACGTCAAAAAATAATATTATATATGTATTATTTGATAGAAATAGAAAGCATCACTTTGCAAGTGGTAAAATTATGTGTTTCCTAATTTTCAGATTGGCCATTTTTGGTCTAGTTGTAATAATATGAAGTTGTCGAGATATTATTAGATGGAAAACTTTCATTAAAGTACACTGTAGTAGCAAAGTGATGCATTGCCTTTGCACATTGTTTGCCTGCTAAAAGCGTGCGTTGGTCGTGTTGCCTGTTGACTGGCTCATAATATATTCATGGTTTGGTTTAACATTTGTCACATCAGTTATAGCAAGACATTCAGTTTTCCTCACTACTTTTCATAGTTGTAGTCAATTGTTTATAAGTTCATACTTCTCACTGTGGAGCTAGTTGCTTCTTGGTGGTGCTTCTCTTCACAATTTCTTACTTTCTCATTTTCCTACGCGTTTCTCGGTGGTTTTTCTTATTGTTTATAGCTCCTTCCCACTCACAAGCTTCATTTCAAGGATGCTCATTGTGTCTCATCTGCACCCACTCACTTGCTTCATATTGCTTCCGTCTCTCTTATCTCTTCTCATTCTCATGAGCTTTTTTAACTTCATAAGCATGTTTCATCATTTTATTCTATATATGTTTATTTTTTTTGATTTGGGATAGCTACAAATCACTTTTTTTAAATCTATCATTATATTTGGTGTAAATTAGTACTTGATGTTACCTTCGTCTAACAATCTCTATCTAGCAGCCAATTGCTTCTTGGTGTCTATCCTCTTTATACCTTTTCCCTCGTTGGTGTTCTTATATGTTATTCACCGGTCATTTTTGTTATTGTTAATAATTTTTCAATCACAAGTTTCTTCTCGTGAAAGCTCTCTCGGTCTCATCTTCACACAACCTATCTCTTCATGTTGCCCATTTCTCGGTCTCTAGCTTGTCTCTCGATCTTATGAGTATTTTTTGACTTTTTAGTATTGTTTCATTTCTTATATTGTATATCTTTTTATCTTTTATCTGCTATTGGTTGGCTACAAATTTGCGGAAAATTATTACTTGATGTGTTTTAAATTTAGGTAATTATATGACTCTGTATGCACATATTATATTTATATTTGATATACAATGTGCTCTATTCATTAAAAGGTCTGCTTTGCTTTACATTTTGCTTATTGGAGAAAAATGGACCTTGCAGATGGAAGACAAATGCACCTTGTGCTTGGCGATTTGATAATTTTGATGGAAAAAAAGAAAAATTATATTATTTTTCATCCACAACCTCGAGCCATACCAACATGAACATACATGTCAAGCTATACCATTTTTGGGACACAATGCCATAGGTTACATGTGAGAGTGAGAGAGAGTGTGTGTGTGTGTGAGAGAGAGAGAGAGAGAGAGAGAGAGAGAGATGTGGTGGAGACCAGCATAGTGCCGAGCTTGATTTAGCAAAACTGGTGGTTGTTTGGAAGAGTTGCTGTTGAGCTCACTCAGACACTTCTGTCTTTAAAGTGGAGCGGTTTGAAGTATAGAGATATTCCACTACCCTTTCTTGTTGAGTTTAGGCGAGAATTTGTAAGAGAATTGAATTTTTAAACCTAAAATTTGAGAAAGGTGAAACTCTAATTCTAATTATCTCTTTAATTTACGGCCAAATAATTAAAAAATCCTCCTTTTTTGAGTGGAAGAGGCTGAGGGAGGAGGATCGTTGGACTTCTCTATTATTTGCTATTTTGCTAGAAACCATTTCCTCACTGTAGTTTGAATAGTCTGGTGATGGTGGTTGTGCAATCTCAAAATGTTTTTCATATAATAGTTTGTGGTTCTTGAAGTTCTGAAATTCTGAATGAGCGTGATGTTCCTTCCTTTCTCTTTCTATATCTGATGTGGGGGAAGTAGTTGACCTGCTCTTTTTCCACATTTCCTACGTTTTAATTTAATAAAACTTAGTAATGAGATTACAAACCCCATCAGTACCTCCTCTACCATCTCTTCTCCACTCCCCATTTGCCATGCAGCATGGCATACAGCGGGCGGACATACAAAAATTCAAGAACTCTAAGCTTCCTAATGCTTAACAAAATTTGTAACATTCCTCATTTTATTTTTACTGCATAAAATATTCGGGTAATTTTGCTTTTAGATCCAAAACAGTCTACTTTTGGCTGTCCTTCATCTATTGAGATTTCAATGTTTCCCCACTTGGTATGACAGCATTCTGTTTCCATCCGATGGATTATTTTCTTGAAGTGGTAGCTTGTTTAAGTTTTCTTTTGGTTTTAACATCGCATGGCTTTCTTTGTTTAGTTTACTTTTTTTTTTCTTGCATTTAGATTCATCCAGCATACTATTAAATGTCAATCCTGTGATCCCTGCGGCTGAATTTCTATAATAATTTTGTTGTTTGTTTTCCTCCTTTCCATCTTATTTCTTAGAAAGCATTGCTTTTTTATTCACGTCTTTTTCATGAGCTTTTCGTTCTACATTAGGGCGCTCACGATCTCGTTCAGTTTCTCGATCACAGTCTCCACGCCGCCCATCTAACCCAAGGATGCGACATTGGTCGAGGTCAGTTGTGCAAAATTAGAGAATTTGCATTTTGAAGTTTGCAAATGAGAGTTTTTTTTGTGCTGCAGATCATACTCTCCTGCACCAAAGCACAGGGATGACCATTCTCCATCACCGAGAAGGCAATCAGCTCATTCAAGATCCCCTAGGGGATACCCGTCTCAAGGACGCAATGAAAAGCAAAGCCGTAGATCGTACTCTCCAAAACACGGTGATGGTAATAGAAAGCAGGTTGATCACGACAACCTCTCAGCTTCACTGAGAGGAAAGCTGGCACGACACTCAAGATCCCCTTTAGACTATCGAGGGGGACACAGTGAGGATCGAAGGCACCGATCTTACTCACCAAGGGGTGATACTGTTGGTAGGAATGGAGCTCCTTATGATTATGAGTGAGTTTTATCATGACCTTTGGCAACAAAAATTCTTATTAAATCTGATGTTTGCATCCTCAGTTAATCTTCAGAATGATTTGTAGAGCATATAGATCGTTGATAGCTTCCATATGTTGGATATGGAAAATGTCTAGTAAACTTTCAAAATGGTTCACTTACTATTTACATAGGGTCATCTTAGTCCCAAAGTCTATAAAAATGCTAAATTAATCCTCAGATTTTTTAATGTGGGCTGAAATTGTCCCTAGAAGGATTATTTTAGCCCCCTTTAAAAGAGTCTGGGGGACTAAATTGACACTTGTAGATTCTAGGATTAAAATGGATATCTAAAAAAAGTTAGGAGGCCAATTTTACACTTTCCTCGGGCGATATCGTTGAAAACTGAGATGTCTCATTCAAGCTTTCATTGTGCAGCAAGGAACCAAGGCGCCCCTCATATTCAGCTTCTGGTTCAAGATCTAGATCTATTGACGTATCTCCTGGGCACAATCGCTAAACAGGTGTAATATAGCACTATTGGACTAACATTATCTCAGGTTAATTGCATTCAAATCTTCCTTCTGTAGATTATTTGGTTTAGCTGTAAAGTTTAACGATTAGGTCCCTTGAGTTCATAAAATCATTACACTTGTTTTAATAAATTGAATGATATGTATGTTTTTTTTTTTTTTTTTTTGGGAATTTTTTTTTAAAAAAAAATTGGGATGAGAAATATTTAGGGCTTGTTTGGGATCAAATTTGTTTTTGTTTTTTCCTTTGTTTTTAAAAGTATATTTGCTTAATGTGTTTTCAATTTGTTTTTATTTTTTATTTCTAAAATCAAATAAATTTATTTTTGAAAATACTCAAAATAATTTTTGGGTGTTATGAGTGTTTTAAAAAGCAATTATATCTTAATCAAACAATCAAACATGTTTGTTTTAGATTAAAACATAGAAAATGAAAAACAAAAAAAAAATAGAGAACAAAAATTAAAAGCCATCCCAAGCTGCCCCTTGATGATTAATTTGGCCAAACTATAGGGAATCTGGATGGTGGTTAACTTAATTTATTGTGTATTGTAATCTTTTTTATTTTTTATTGGAGACCGTAACCTGTTTCTTTTTTTTACTTTGTTTTGATCCGCAGTTCACTGGAGCTCTAAACTTTGGAGATTAAGAACAGTTTTCGTCCTTTTTTTTATCATGAAATAACACTTTATCTGCTTCTTTTGCAAACTTTAGCCTTGAGACCTTATTGTGGAATTGTAGCGAGCTCTTCTCTGAGCATCTTTGTGAGAAATTAATGCACTGACTTTTGAAATTGGCCATATAATGTCTTGCTTTAATGCACTTATGAGAATGCTCCAGAAAAAAAAGGGGATTATGATTACTGTTCTGAAGAGTGTCTTCTTTTGTTCTCTCAGATATATAATATTTTGATTTATGTGAACAACATGAGCAAAATTGTTTATTATTTCGGAAGATTTACTTTCTTAACACTCAATTTTTATGTATTTTTCATGTCCGAGACCTAAACTTCAACTTTTACATACAGACCACTTTACCTATGCTTAAAATGGTATGTTTTACTTTTTTAAGTTATCTGTAAATGTAAAAAGTAAAATTTAGCTGTTAGATATTTAAATTCATAAGAATTAAGCGGTATGTATGTAAATTCCCCTATTATTTATTGTCCAGGCTTTTGATAGAGCATGTGCCGTTTTTTTGAGTATATCTTATTTAAGTATTCTGAAATGCTCATGAAAATGGCTCTACCCGAGTTTTTTCTTTCTTTTTTATTTGTACTACAGTTGAGCTTTAGTCCAACTTGTTAAATTTGAACTGAGCTTTGCTTTTAACAAATAATCTCAATCCCCAATCACATTTTATTTGGCCTGCTGTTTATTTGAGCTTGAAATTGATCTGATGTCATATTCTAATTCTGTAGCTCCGGCCAATGTGTAAAAATGCAATTTAACCAAGGAAGATTTACTTGCATATACTCAATTCCTATGTATTTACATATCTAATACTTTAATCTCAATTTTTTTTTTATAAATGTCACTTTATCTATGCTTGAAAGGATATATTTCAAAGGTCAAAATAGTGGTTTTTTGATTTGATGTAAAAGATTTTTGTGTTATAAATATAAAAAATAAAGTTACATGCTAGATACGTAAATAAATATGAATTGGGTAGTATGCAAGTCAGAGCCCCTTCAACTAATGAATAGATTTTACACCACATTTTGTCCATCTTCAATCTGTTCTTTTGCCAGTATTTGATTTTTCAACACATTTCGTCATAATCAAGTATATATTGATTTTCTTTTCTATTGAATGCCTGATATGTTAGTGTATTACCTACAAAGTCTTATGCTCACCTGCATAATTATTGTTTAATTATAGGCAAATGGGAAGCTGGTTGAATGAGGATATCATTTAGTGATCGATGATGAAGAAGAATGAATTTCTTATTACATGAGAGTTGTTTTAATGATGCAAATTATTATTATTTTTATTTTTTTAATCCTTATACAAATTTTGAATAATAGTTAGCATTACACGACATTCTTCCCTTTGAACCGTTGGAGGATGAAGGTCATAGGAGAGTGTGATCGTTGAATAGGTCATTGAGAACTTGTAAACCCATAATGATTGCATTATCACTTTATAAATTCACCTCTAATAATTCATATATTTGCTAGAGCCAATATGTAGTTAAGTCGGCCTAGGTGGCAATTAAGGCCTAAGCTCACAATTTGGGAATTAGGTGAGAAATTCTCATTCTTTTCAGACATGTAAGTAATGCAAACCTAAGTTATTTTATGTTTTGTTAGACTCTTTATCCACATTGATTGAAAAGATGAGATGAATGTTGGAGAGGTAAATCACTGATCCTGCCCTGTTATATGTTATTATTATCTAAGTAATTTAGCTAAAAACTATATATATATAATTCTATTTATAACATAAATTTGCATTTAGATACAATATAAACAACTACAACAACAGCAATACTATATTGTCCTAAAATTATGAAAATATCCATAAAAATAGAAAAATCTTCTTATTGATTTTATTTTTTACTTTTTCATGATGCTTGTAATGACAATTTATCTGATTAATCTAATCTTCAATTTCTTAATTTTTGAGAATATTTGTGGAGCATACAAATTGAGTGAAATCAAGGTTAAAACCATTGAAATTAAGTGGAAAATATTGACATTGGTCAACTTATTAATGGCCACTTTGCTTATGTAATTGACTTGATATACTAATGATAACTCCTTGTGGGCTCTAGGAGAGATTCGTTTAAGAAGAAAATTAATTATTTTAATCTTCATATGAAGATTTTAAATCCTTGCTTCTAAGTTTTGATGTAAACTCTTGATTTGGACTAGTAATTATCCTCATTAAATTTATGTTGCAAAGGCCTTTTCTAAGTTTGAATGATACAACTCTTATATTAGAATATGTTATATCATGCCAAATACATTATAAAGAATTTTTTTGTATCTATCATTTATAATAGTAAAAGAGCTACAAATATATTATAAAAAAGGAAAATTTACATAGATAGCATCCAATTTTAATGCATTTGCCTATCTCACAATAAAACTTTGATTTTTACATGAAAAGCATCATAACCTACGTATGAAAAAGTGGATTACACTATTTCCACCTTTTTATACATAGGAAAATGTGCTTACCATGTAAAAAATCTAAGTTTAGGAGTAAGTATTGGATGCTATGTATAAAAAACATTGTTTTGCAAAAAAATTCTAATATTTAATTAATTCATATAATAAAACTTTATAACTACAAAAATATATATAATAATCATGATACATAGCTCTCTATCCCGAAAAGAGGCCAGCATCGACATTTCAATAGATTACACAAAGCATATAATAGTAACAAATTCATAAGAACAAAGGTAATGTATTTGACAAGTAATCACCACACCGGAAATAATAAGAAAAATATTATATTTAAATAAAGTTATGTAATAGAAATGATAAAAAGTTATAATAAATATATTATATTACTATGTCAAATGATATTTAATTAAACAAAGTGTATTAGTATAAACTTTAATGTTAAAAGCAAAGACTTGAAAATTGGATTTGTTAATCCAGTTGAACTGATTTGATTGTGAATCAACCATATGGCTAGTCTGATGACCATTTGGTTATACATTGAAAAAATATAAAATAATTGAATCGAATTTTTTGAAAAATTGACTTGATCATAAATCTAGGAAATTATTCAGCTCAAAATTTGACCAATTAATCATAATTAATCTGTATGCTAGTGGCTAGAATTTATTTGTTAGAATAAAATTTATAAACTTGGAACAACTTAATTATGCCAAAAACAAACACTATTCCTAAATTCCTTTGAATATGCCTCTCATTCTTGAACATCTTCAGCCACGATTTCTACTGAGAAGCTTCCATACTTGCATTCAAATTCTGTAGGGCTACCTATTTCCCCCCCTCCCTCCCCCACGCAAACCTCTTTAGTGGAGCCATCCCCTCTATCGCTAAAATGTAAGTTCTTGAGAAGATGAAGATTCTATTTTTTAAATTGATATAGTTTAGTTACTTAAAGGATGAACAAAATTTGATTATATATTTTTTGAAAAATTTTATAAATTTTGGATGACACTAGTTTATATGATTTCAAATATATTTTTTTTTCTTCTTATTATAGTTTATCATTTTCTACATCTATCATTATCAAATTATTGTTAGTGTTATTATGATTTTGGGGGTTCTGATGTCTAGTTTGGAAACGGATTTAATTAAAATTATCTTTACTTTTTCTTGCTCGAAAAAAGAATTTTTTTGTTTAAATTTGCAGGTTTTAGGATTTAGATTTTGTTAGGAATTGATTAAAGTGCTAATATTTTTGCTTTTGAATGTGATTTAAATGATTTGAGTCTAACAAAAATAATTAGGAAGTGAAGTGTGTACAAAGAAGGAGATTTCTAAGATTTTTGGTTAGAAATGATTTCCCAAGTAGAAAGTTTGAATTGATTGTTTGGGTTGGCTTACGATTAAGGTCATACAACATTTAACTTTATATATATATATATATATATATATACAGAGATTTTAGCCGAAAAATATATAACATATGTATTGTCTATATTTTTAGATTGGCAGAGTTTGTAAGACCTCTGGGGTCACGGGTTCAATCCCACCTATGTGAGGAATGAAGTTCTTAAGCATATGAGGTTGTTCGAGAGGCTCATCTAATATCCTCGGGCCATCTATATATGTTTTCTTAACTATACTTCTATTTTTTTTTTATTACTGTGGCATCATTATTAGGTCATTTAGGTCATAATTTAATAAATTTAATAATTTTTTTCATCTAATTCAACCACGATTCAAACTTTTTAGAACTATGGTTAAATGCATTTATCATGAATCACAGTATACAACTCACATTATTAAATGTTCATTTTATCATAATAAAATTATAAAATAAATAACATTTCAAAGATATTACATAAATTTTTCTAAGGCTCTTATATCTCTTAAGTGTTCCACATTGCATAGTCAATCCCTTTTGCCTGGCCATACGTTCATGATTTTGTTCATATATTTATTCAAGCCTTTTTTACTTGTATCATAATTTATTTTTTCAAGCTGTTATACCTTTTTTTTATAAATACATATTATTCAAGCTTTTATGAGTTCAAATAAATGCACATGCACTATATGATCAATCAAACCATCATTTCCTATCACAATATTTGATAACACATTGATATTGAAAGTGCCGCATAAAACAAAATAATTCATGAATACAAAATATGATAGTACTAATTGTATATAATAACTAGAAAATCAATATATATTAAAATGAAAGGTGAAAATTATCAATATATTAAGATAGCATTATTTTCATTGAATCCATTCTACAAAGAAATTGAGACAAGGCAACAATTATATATCTTACACCAAAAAGCCTTTTCAACTTTCATGCTTCATAAAGATAAATAAGATTTCTATAAATTTTACATGTATATGTTTTACACCAAAAAGCCCAATTATGCAAGCATGAATTAATTGCACTAGAAAAACAAGCCAACTAATATATTTTTTGCTTTTATACATACATGCCCAAATAAATAAATTTATTATAAAATAGGATGCATTGCTCTATATTTTTTTAAAGAAGAGTTGTAAGTCAAACTTATAATGAATCTAAAAATGTTATTTGATTATCACGTGTCAAATTTGATCTTATAATAATTTAGGTAGCCTTATTACTATTCTTATACAATATTTTATATAATTTTCCGGAGACCAAAGTCATTTGAAATTACACTTTAATATATTTATTAGTCTATTTATAAAGTAAAAGTAAAAAAACATTCAAGTTTATTGTAGTGTTTCTTTATTGCTGCATCCTGCTTCCCATGGAGCATGATGTTGCTTTTAATTTGGGATT